TACCGCGCCTCCCTGTCCCTTAATGATACAATTACCAGGGAAATCCTGATAGATGGGTTCGATCATTTTTTATGCTCTTTCCAACGCCGTGCTGATTGTTTCTCTATGACATGTAGTTATTACTGTACAGAAATCCTACCTGTGCCGGCCTACCGGTGCTCGAATCTAGTGGTGTCTTCTGGGAAATACATAAGCAAAATCCATAGTTGAGGTGTAAAAATCTTTTTGATATCTTTATTGGTTTCCGAGTAAAATGTATTTTAGGTATTAATTTTACCTGACAAAAATTATGAAAACCCCTTATATATATACAGTATTATTAAATATTTTCAATGTTAATAATATGTGTTTGAAAAATTGTTTATTTATTTGATAAAATTGTATATAATTTTATTATGTTAGTGTAAATGATAAAATTAAATTACATGAATGCATTTTTAAATATAATGTTAAATGAGTTCATAAATGACAACACATTTATGATAATTAAGTGTTTGTTTTCAATGACTTTTCAAATGGTATCCAAATTAACAGATTAGCCCAACGTTTTAGATCTTCATCAGGGCTTAAGAGATGGCAACAGATATTGATTGAAGTGTTCAATAATGACTCAATTGTGTATAATTGTTATAATTGATCGTAATTTTTATTATAATTATATTTCATTGTATTTAATGACATTTTTTTATCAATGATATATTTTAGCATTTTAAATTTATTTATGAGTTAAGTTTATTTTGATTTAGTATTTGTAATTACACTTTGTTATAATAATATAAGTATTAAATAATTAATTGAAATAAAAAACTAGCTCAATTATAAATTATCTGGATATATGATAACGGGACAGTACATAGTATGTACATACTATTCAAATATTTATTTTAGCATAATAATATTATTTAAACATTATATAAACATATTATGTTTAAAAAAATTACCTAGATTTTTGAAATTATAAAATGTATTTATATTAAAATTAGGAAAGGGAGTTGTAACAGGGAACTTTTAGTAAAATTTAAATAATAATAATTTTATTCATTATGAAACTCAATATACTTGGATGACTTCTTAGATAAACCATTTGGTGACTCATCAGTACTCCTGTTGACACGCATACCGGTGCCAATGGCTGTCATCCGGTCTACTACTGACCCCATAAGCGAAGTCTCACTGACTTTAGCCCTGAGCGCTATGTATGCCATAAGTCTGTAGACGACTGTCTGGGCGATGAGTATTCGCCAACTCATGGCATACATGTAGTCGTGGTATTCATACTTATATAGCACTGAAGATACCTGTCCTTCAGGGCACCGGTCGAAGCCATACATGAATATAATGGTCGCTTCAAACGTGGCTCGCATTGGGTTCATGTGTGACAACCAGTTCAGCCAAACAGACAGTTCCCGCGCCGGTATGACGTAGCCGTTCAGACTGATTATGGCCGGCACTGTCATTATGGACATAACCACCGGGTGCTCATCGAATAGGACCCCGAATATGAATCCTATGCTCTGATAGATGTGTGCACTGAGTGTGAGCACCAGTAATAGGACCCAAAATATGTCTTTCATTTCGTAGAGGTTTACGATTAACACAAAGAAAACGATTTCCAAAGTCATGGGCAATAAATCCA